TGAGTGATTTTTATCTACCCTGTCTTCTAATTCACTAATCTGATCCTCAGCTTCCTCTAATCTGCTGTTTATTCCTTCCAATGTATTCTTTATTTCTGCTATGTCATTTGTAATTTCCTTCTTAGTTTCCATATCTTTTTTCATGCTGTTGAGCATCCTTACAATCAGTATTCTGAACTCTAATTATGATAGGTTGCTTATCTCCATTTCATTTAGTTCTTTTTCTGGAGACTTCTCTTGTTCTTTCATTTGGGGCTTGTTTTTTGTCTCCCCATTTTGGCTGCCTATTTGGGTTTGTTTCTATGTATCAGGTAGGCCTGCTAGGACTCTCAGTCTTTTTGGATGGTCTCTGGTGCAGGCCCATGTCAGACGCTGTTTAGGACTGGCCTTGAGTACCCTGTCTGGAGCTATCAACAACCCATGGCTTGAGGTCCCCTCTGTTGGGGCTGGGTGTGTTTGGACAGGACCATCATGCACACCAAAGTCTGCTTTTGCAAGGCCCAGGTCCAGAAGCAGATCAGGCAAAGACTCAAAGCACTCTGAGGTCTGCCTCTGCCTGCAGGCTGATTTATCTGATTCTCTTAAGGAGCCTCAGGCTGTAGAAACTCCAAGGGATAGGGTGAGAGGTTTTCTGGCAGGTTGGGGCCATTGCTTCCCCTTCAGGCAAAAGCTGCTTGGAAGGTAAGTGTCTGCCTCTGCAGTATAGGTGAAAGACTCGGCACAGGAATCCAGAGAGGTGCCCTCTGACTCTATTTCCAGAGCCCACAACCCTAGATGTTCCTCACACAGCTCTAGTCCACTCTGCCTTCCCTCTGCTGGAGCCCACGGTGAGTCTCTGCACAGGAAACTTTGTGCATTGGCCGTTTAAGAGGGTGCCTGCATTCCCAGCCGTCTCTCCCAGGCAGACAGAAACCTGGCTGCTTTTCACAGCCAGATGTTATGTGGGCACCTTTCTCCATTCTGGTCCTCTTGGCTGGGAAATCCAGCCTGGGGTTTAGGTCCCAGGGTCCTCAGTGAGAACCGCCCCCCAGCTGAGACATCCTTCCAGACCTTTAGCTGCTGCCTATGGGAGCCCAATCAGCCCTCTCGGGCCTCCACAGTTCCTACCAGTCTCTGTGCAGTCTCCACTTTCCCTCCTTGGTTATGAGGGTGCTCTCCAGCTCGCCTTCAGTTGCAGTTGATTAATTCAGCATGGTTTTTCTATATTTTAGTTTTAATTCCAGTTTGGTCCCAAGAGAGTGTCAGTGTAGCTTCCACTCAGTCCACTGTCATCTTTAATCTCTCCCTAACCCCTTTTAAAAGCCCACTTCTTCCTATACCACCTTGTATTTTGGCACCTGGGGTTACACACATAATCAACAACTACCCAACACTGACAAAGAGCAAAGTGTTTCTATATACACTAAGTCATCCCAGCCACACATACAAATATATCTGAAACAAAACTGTCATGAAATAATTTTTATCCTTAGTACCTACAATGGACTCTTATTTTTTCTGTTCTCTTCTATTTCACTTGAAAAAAATACTGGTCAATTCCCACTAATTTTATTTCACAACCACTTATGAGTATCAACCCGAAGTTTGAAAAACACAGCTGTAAGTGATACAGGACAATAAGATGGAGAATTTATTTATCCTCAAAAAGTATTTAATCAAATTGAAGATATAACAGTAAAACACAAACCTTTCCTGACACCCCTGCCCCCGCCGTCTCAACTGCTAGAATAAAAGAACAGATGTACCTATTGCTCCCCTTAACTTCCCTATCATGGAAGATACCAATAAATTGTCTAGGTTGTAGATATGACAACTGTCAACACTCAACAAACAGTTGAATGAATGAATGGGGCATCATAAAAGTATTATGGATTTTCAAAGGCGAAATCACATAGCATCAGTTCTCTCCCCACCTACCTCATAACCCTATAAGGGCAGAAACAATCTTTTTGTATTATTGAACATATCATGAGTTCAAATGTTTGTAGATGTTCTATTAACAACAAAAAAACTGAGCTACACACTGGCCACAATTCATGTGGAAAAGCAGATAAACATGAATCTTTGCCAAAGAAAATCAAGGGAGAAATTTCCAGCTCCAGTTTATTATTGGCCTCCACACTCAAGCCTTAGTATTCAAAGTGTGGTTCTTAGTCCAGCAGCATCAATATAACCTGGGAATTTGTTAGACATGCAAAATCTCAGGCCTCACCCAGACCTGCAGAATCAGAACCCCATTTTAACATGATCCCCCAGGGGATTCCTAACACACATTAAAGTTTAAAAAGCATCAGTCTATATGATAAAAATAAAACTGGCTTCTGCAACCTCAGAGAAAGTTACCATCTTCTCCTGTGTTAACTCTGTAATAAACAAACTGTTCAAGTATACAATTATGGCCATGACACACTTCTAGGCATAGCAGGGTATAAATTCAAATGATTACTCAATGAGAAATAAGAATTAACCACCCATTGAATATTGAATGAAACTTTTAGGAAACATACAAAAAACATGACCTCTGCCTTCTTAGGACAGACTCTATTGGGCAGGAAAAGAGAGACTGAACTTCAATAACCAAAGTAATAAATCTCTAATACCAAGGACAAGGTTATTGGGGGGGAAAAGACGCTGGTGAGAGCATTTAAGAACAAACTTCCTTACCAGTTCTCAGTGACACATTCACATATTTCCAAATGTTCTCTATTAAAAACAACAAACTTAGACTGCCCTACATGTAAAGCTCTATAATAAAGGACCTAGATGACATAAAGTAAGATCTACTCACCTTCAATAACCCTAAGACTGGGGCCACCCTTTAAATCACCACCCAAAATCTCAACCAGGTGTCTACTTTGTGAACTTGCAAAAGACAAACAAACAAAAAACTTGCAAAACCCTCAGGCCACAATCCTATCATTCCAAACTGAGACAAGATCTGGGGTCATATGGCCTTGCTAATATGTCCTTTAAAAAAAAAAAAAAAAATGGGGGTGGGGGAACAGAGATATTTTATATGAGGAAAGATTGCAGGCCATTTCTCACCGCCTCGCTGACCTCTCCATCTCCAAGCAGGAGAGAGCAAAAATCACGCAGGTCCCTGCAGTCACAATTTTAAGTGTTCTCAACTTAACCCCAGAGTTGGGAGCCCATCCCCTTCCCAACTACAGGCATTTAGATGACAGCTCAACCTCTAATTCCCCTCCCCCTCCCCCTGTCCCGGGTCGGATTTGGGATATCCGCCCCTTGCGGCCTCC